TCCCAAGTCAATGTCGGACAAACTAAAAATCCGTGACGGAACGGATGTTTATCTATCGTTAGATCCAACCATATTTTAGAATTCACTTTCAATGGGTCCCCGCTTGCTGTGAGTAATGTGGATGTGTATCGCGTTTGTTGGACTTTGTGGTTGAGCCTTCCTAAAAGCTCGTCCTTAATTAGGGATGCTGACGCTCCGGTGTCTAATAAAATTTCGATATCGATACACTCTACTCTACCCTTAATCGTGACGGGGCGCACATGATTAACATAAGAAGATAAATGGAAAATGTACGGCTTACTTGTGTTACCAGAACGGTTATGGCCACATTTCCTTGCATTTTTGCCAAATCGTCGACAGTACGGGCATTCGGATTGGCGACCGTGATAACTGTTCATTGGTCTCCAATTCCTGTCAGCGGGACTGGATTGTCTTCGACTGTTGTTCCAGCGGGAAAACTGGGTAACGTCCGAAATGTGTTGAGGGTTCGTTGGACGGCTAGCTTTTGTGGGTTGTGTTACTGCCATCACCGTTGGTTGGTGCATGTCTATTGGGCTTTTCAGCTGTCATGAACCGGAATGTTGTTCTTTTTAAGTCATTTATATCTGCTGGCGGGTTTAGTAGGAAGTGTCCCCTTAAGTAACTGGATATTAACCCTTCGACGAACCGAGACTTAATCAGTTCATCTCGTCCAGTGGCATCAAGACGAGGAAACGCCTGCACAGCCATCTGTTGCAAAGAATTAAAATAATCTATTGGATTCTCGCCAGGTGCTTGTTGTCGTGGCAAAAATTGGATGGCTGCTTGCTGGGAATCCACCGGCGTCGAAAAACAATCGTCGAGGATCTTCCAGTTTTGAGCGAGAGTGTTGTTCGCCGCAAACCCGTTGACTATAGCTCTCTTGGTTGCTTCGTCGCTTGGGTAGGACACAAGATAGTCGAAATGTTCCGAAGCTGGAACTTTACGAAGATAGGCTGTGACTTTAAACTTCCACACTGTATAGTCTGATGAGTTTTCCAGGAGTGGCGGTTTACGGGGAGCTGAGCCAGTTGCTGGCTTGACTGGAATCACCGGCGGTTCGTTCAGGTTTTCATCGCGTTTTTCAGTGAACACCTCCATCACCAGTTGTAATACGTGGAATCAGCAGTTAGAGAACAACAGGACAGATCTGAAAACAGCACAGCACACAATGTTAAACGAGGACTTCACACCAAGAGAAAACACAGTGGGAATCACGAGCCTCTTTATTTCAAAATCAAAAAGCGCGGTGCGCGAGAGTACAGCGGGAAAAGTCAGTTTACAAAGTAGTCATATGAGTCATCCTGTAAGCTTAGCGTACATAGGGCTTGCTCTTCCTCCTCCAAAGAGTTTATGTTTGGTCGCTCTGCAATAGAAAGAAAATAGAATGCATTAGTATATCATACATATCAATTTCAACTCCGTTACAAATTGAAGCTAGAACACCATGGAAAACCTGGAAGCACTGGACAGCCGTTTCGTCAGTGACCAATGGAGTTCAACCAAGTTTGTTGTAGAGATATCAACTCACCGAAGACCATTGGTGAACGGTTGCTCAAACATCGTGGATTGGTTGAAGTTAGATATTAACACCGTTGGATGCCGGATCAGTGGTTTATCGGTTAAGTACTCTGGCGCAAGACTGGTAGGTCCTGGGTTTGAATCTCGCGAGTGCTGGATCGTGGGTGCGCACTGCTGAGGAGTCCCATAATAGGACTAGTTGGCCGTCCAGTGCTTCCAGGTTTTTCATGGTGGTCTAGCTTCTATTGACTCATGATTTCAACTATGAAAATACTGAAATCTCCACAAAACCCCTTCTGATCAATTATCCAATGTCCATTGGCTTTCGTCGGCATCAAAAGATCTTAGGTATCCTGTTATCTCATAATTAATTGTTAGTCTGATGTTCTTAACTGATCTAACCAACTTTCTCTTACTAATTTTAAGGAGAAAAAGTATTAATTATGCCACAATAGATCAAAGTCTTATCTATTTCAAACTTCATTCTTGTTAACTAAATGTTACTATCAGTTTAATTACATAGGAAAATAAATAACTATAAATCAGTTAGATCAAAGTAAAACAATGACCTTTATTTCAATTGATTGTAACCTTTGTTCAGGTTACCACTTGCCCAATCATATACCTTTTTTTAATTCTTTCTTCATTTTTTATTCCATACAACACAATAGGTATTTGATCGATATAGTTAACTGATGATGAGTCATATGTGGTTGTTTATGATTATGATTATTCTACTTTTCATAGTTCAATATACATGTCATTTTATCCTTGATTTATCGGTGTATATAAAATAATCCGAACCAAGCTTGTTTATATGTCGTATTATTGTTATTATGTACCATAATGTAAAAAAAAAATATTTTTGTTGTTAAACTATATCATCCTTGGTTTGTTACTAGTCCCATGGATTACTGGTTCACATATTGATTAAATCTTATCTTATCTTTGTTTGAATGTCGACCAATAATTTTTATTTTCATTAAGAATTCAATGATGAAATGAATGAATAGTGAACAATTTCGGGTTTAGCCTTTATTTTATTTTATTTAAGAATTGTATATTAAAAACCCATTAGCTGGTTATGATAACCTTGTCTTCATTGTTATGTGAACTTGAGTTAGCTAATGAAGTACCGTTATCCACCTGTTATGCAATAAATGCTAGTTATTTGACATCGTAGTCCTAGATTACTCAATATGTTCTGTCTATTGTGACAGATATTTTACTTTCTACATAATTCTTACCTTATATACTCTAGATTTTTTGTATAAACCAAATGTTGTTTATAATGCTAATTAGAGCGTAAAGTTTTTATCATAGAACATTACATAAAGAGTTTTTCGAGACTAATGAGCTCAAGATATTCAATTTATCTTAGTTCGGAACTTTATGAAGTCGACTTATTTCAAGATGAAATAATGGGTTTGGTAGTGGTCACTGTCTGTTGATATTAGACCATGAAACCATTTGAAATGTGTTTCGTGTGTACGTCGGTAGCGAAATAGTTGATTAATCAACAACAGGGCTTCATTTAAGTCGTTACATCAAGAAAGCAATCCTGTTTGATAAGTTTCTATGTGGGTATCGACTGAGTTAGTCGATGTCCCTTTATATATACATTTTGATTTCACCTTCTCAAACCATATTCCTTATTTATAATCGTTCTCATCGTCTTTGGTACAATGAGTATTTCGACTTCTCCACTATTCCTCTTGTTAATTTCGTCTCTTTGTATTAATATGGTATGGCAACTTGTGTCAATATATATTTGTTCTAAGCTCTCCATTGTTTGTGATTTACATCAGCACCACTATAGCCAATTGTGATTTACGTCACCTAGTTTCTACAACTATTTATTATGATTGTCTCCCAGAATCTAACTGGGAAGTGTATATCTCTCAACATGCTTGTTTAGGTCGATATTCAAAGATCGATGTCATATCTGGGTTCGATTTCCTTGTTCAGGATCGTGGATGCCCACTACTGAGGAGCTCCATACCTCGACGAAACGGCCGTCCAGTGCTTCCAGGTTTTCAATGGTGCACTAACTTAGATCGGCTCGTGATTTTAACAATATATTTTTTCATTTTATGAGTCCCAAAGTTTGTCAATCGATTGTCTTTGTTAATCGCATTTTTATTTTATATTTCACTTCATCAATGATTTTACTACATTCCTTTGGAACATCCACTTATTGAGTTTTTATCTCATACTATCCAACTTGTGCAATGGGGTTACCTATGCATATCATTGAAATCATGAACCGATTTAAGTCAGATCACCATTAAAAACTGAAAACTGGACAGTCGTTCCATCCTAACATGGGACTCCTCAGCAAGGAGCATCCACGACTCCACACGCGGGAATCGAACCCAGGACCCTCAGTATGGCGCCCGAACGCTTAGTCTCTAAACCGCTGAGCCGGGATTCAAAGGTGTTGATGTTTAGGTCCAATCAATCCACCACAATATGCCAACATTTTCTGTTGTTTTCAATGGGTAAATGCTTCATCGCACATGGATTAGCTCCACTGGTCATGGCTTCTTACTATAACCCCGTAAATTTCCTGTTCAAGCTAGTCACTGGTGAACACATGATAACTATTAGTTAGGGGTTGTGGAGATTGTTGAATTACATTGAAATCATGGACCGAACTAATTTATACCACCCTTGAAAACTTGAAACCACTGTGAATGAATGGCTACATGTTAATCTCTATACTCTATACATCAGGTTGAGTTGGACGTTTTCCAATATAAAAAAGCATCAATTTATTATAAGTAGTTAAATTTCAATAAATTTACGTAATCTTATTATTGGATTGTTTCGGCTTTGAAGAAGACTTATTTTTGTTTTCTTTATCATAGATGTTTAAATAATTCGTTTATGATTGACAACCTTTAAATTGAAAATTGGTTTATATTTACTTTTTATATATTAACTTATTTAATACACAAATGGGTATAACTGGGCACCAAAAAAGTATGCGCTACATAAAATAAAGAGATAACATTTTGAAAGGAAAATCAAGGGTAGAAAAAAGTACAATTATAAAACACAATATAAGTGAATAAGTAAAGTATACGATAAAATAAAATCTAAAGTCCTTTATTCAAAGGAGATGCAATCTCTAAGGTAGTTGGTGATCAAAATAGGTTTATATGCCTCTTACAACACTGGATGTTTATTTTCCGTTCTTTTACTTACGTAAACAACATCCCCGTCACGTGAAGACAATCAGTAGGCTATCCCTGTCAAATTTTGAGAACTCGTGGCCATATAGATGTGTCTCGAAAGGAGAACAGACTCTGCACTTTCCGCCGTATCAGGGAAACGCAGAGATATGTATAAAATGATGTATTCGTATCTTATATTTACTACCTAATATTGGATAAGCTAAGAGCAATAATTCGATATTGTACTTATGCCAATCTTTTTCTATTTATATTTTTCTTTAGCTCCACCTGTGCACCCACGAAACTCCTCAAGATCTTATCATCAAAATGCTCCAGTAAGTTACTTTGACCATATATATGTATGTCGACTCGTTTAGCTCTTCATATGGTTTCCTCTCTTCATACAGATATCATATTTTTCTTGAATTATGAATATTTAGAATATTTCTTTTATGTCCATAATACTCACTTAGAATTATGATATTAGTTTGGTACATTTATGTTAACCTCCCATTGAGCTAATGGTTTATCCAACGGACTAGAACAATTTCATGTCAATTTCTTTTAGATAATTTGGAAAAAATAATAAATCTCATGTTGTTCACTACATAGTTCAACTACTGATTTATGCCAATACAGAAATTTCAGTCAACAAACTTACGTTCAATCAAACGCTTTAGTCTGTATTTGGAGGTTTCTTAAGCTAATGCATACAGCTGAGATGATGGAGAAGATTTGTAGCTCAGGTGGATGATTTTGATGGAGTTTTGTTCTCTGATCTGGATGGTTTGGTCGTGGAGCTTTCATCGTCCTTCTGAACAACATCATCTGCACATTGGTTGTAGTTAGTGGTACTATAGCTTGTCTTATTTATTGTTGCGTTTCCTCGTTTATTCCGGAAATTTTAAGTGATGATTCTAGTGCTGCTAAGAATTCTAGTTTTGAGGTGTCGCTTGTATTGTAGTTTAATACCTTTCGGAGTAGGTGTTCTATGTTTGCTAGTGGTTGTTTTGATAGGTTGACCACGCAGTTGTTTGTGTTTTCTTCTATGGTTGGCTTTGAGATTTTGATTTTTTTCTTTCTAAGGATGTTTCTTCTTTTTTCTCTGTATCGTTTGCATGATATTTCGATGGCTGTTGTTAAGATTTCCAAGTGTTCTGATGCGAGTGTCCGTTGTGCTGATGATGTCATTCAGAAGGAAGATGAAAGCTCCACGACCAAGCCATTCAGCTCAGAGAACAAAACTCCGTCAAAAATGCGTATGTCTGTTTGAACGCTTCATCATCTCCTTGTTTGACTAGGATCATACATAAAGTTAGAGCTGATCGTCAAAATACATTGGGGATCTTCATAATATCAGTTAATAGAACTTTAAAAAAAACTTAACCTGTTACCGAGTTCAATGATATATCACAGTTGTTATAAAGATATTTGGGAAGAACAAATGGTAGTCTAGGCAATTGTACCAATTATTATTATGGATAATTAGAGTTTCCTATTAACGCACTTGTTCGTGGGTCATTATCATGAAGTAGTGAGTGATAAATCTGACCGATTCGTTTCAACTATGTTTCTGGATAAATTTCATGAGGAACGGCAATCAGTTGATGAGGTAATGAAAATTATTATTTCAGTTTAGATCCCCTATATCTATATATTATCGATCATTCGTTTCTCATTGTTTTACTGGATTTGACTTAATACTTAGTGTGACTAGTTCTTTTTTTCAATCCTAAACATTTTGTAACTGGTCACTTACAGCAATTTGTTATTCTTTTAATTAATGCCTGTATTATGTTATAACTAGTTCACGATTGCTGGTGATTTTATCACGTGAATGGTGGCTTCTTCGAGAAAGGATATTGACATCAAGAGTAATTGTAAATAAACTTCGGGAATTTCTATTTTGTCTTCGACTTTTTCGAACAAGTGTATTTTCCATTCAAATGTAAACTGCATTTTAATATTAGCTATTAGCTTTCTGCGTACAAAATGAAGTGTACCATTTGCTTGTTTATCGATTTTTTTGTTTATTTTAGGTTGTGACGTCGTCTACTGGATTTGTGGCTAGTGAAGCTACAACTCCTACTAGTGGTGCACCACTTGGTTGCCATTTAGCGGAACTAGCCAAAGAACCTCATTCAAGTCAGAAATGCCATAATAATAATAATAATAACTATGCACCTGTCAAGCCAGTTGATGAAGTTATTTCTTCAAATGAAGTAATTAATCATTGCCTCAATACACGAAATTCTCATTTCAATCATTCTGGTGTTATATATTCCAATGCACAATCAGAGTCAATTCAGACTAACTCCAGTTATGATACAGTACGTCCAATTAATTTATCACCAGCTAATCTAAGATCGAACTTTTTAGTAAGTCGACCAAGTTTACCTCTGGAAACTGGTGTAAATGACGATCGAATTTCTCATGTCCACTATCCTCGTCATCATTCATGTGAAGAAAATTATTCACAACCTACTTCTGAATATAGAAAGTTATCACTGATTAATGGATCATCTCAATTTATTGGTGATAATAATAATAATAACAATAATGCTCAAGAGCATTTCTCTCCTTCACGGCTCACACCATCACCTATAATTTTTTCACCTGTTAGTGATCGTTCAGACAATAACAGTACTGCGATACCACCATCTTTGTTGGACAATCATCAAAATATAATCGCTTCTCCTATTATACCTCCATCTACAACTACTTCTTCGAATAATTCAGATGTTGACCCAATTCATAGATCAGATGGACAACAGCAGAATAGTAGATCAGTTTCTCCAATATGTAGTTCTCTCTTATTACCTCCACCTGTTCCATGGAATTTGGATTTAACAACATCTGAAGTAAATGAAACAACACCAAGTTTATTTATTAATAATAGTAATGACATAATTTTAAAAAATGATTATTACCAAAGTAAAATAGATATTGGATATAAATTTAATGATGGTTTATTTAATGGTGACACTACACAACAACATGCTTGTAAAAATGTCAATAATAATAATCATTCGAGATGTCGAAGTAAAGATTCACTTCTTTCAGATGATATAAACTTTTTAAATAATTCATCCAATATTCAACATCATTATCAAAATTATGATAATAAACCATTTGGATTATTATCACCAACTCATCATTTAGATTTTGATAGTTTTGGAATTTCTGAAATGACTAATAGTAATACATATGCTTTTAGTACATTCGATTCAGATTGTCTAGCATGGATGCGTTTAAGTGTATATGATGTGACAAATCATTTAACTGAAGATATGAATAATTCATCAGAATTACAATTACCTAATTTGGATACATTATCTCGACCATGTGTTCATCATTGGGTGGATATATTCAACTCGAATCCTTTAGGTTTACGATTAAATTTTGTAAGTTTTGTGTTTCTATTCAACTTTTAGTTTGAGATTGTTTTATTCAATATGTTTTCTCTATGTTATGGTGAAAATATTGATTTGAAGAAATACGGAAATAATTAAAGAGATCGTAGGTGATGTTGTTCGTTAAATATCAATGACAGTAATATGGTTTACTATAATAATTAGAAATATTCAAATTAATGCTGTTATTAAGAATTCCCGAAATAGTACATTTTATGGCAGATAGAACTAGAGGAGCACAAATTAACGTATTGTATTTGAAATCTGTAATCAAGTACAAAGTAATCATTGATTCGTACAAAATACCACTTTTACATTTATGCATTTTATTCTTCTCTGAATTTTGGATTTGGTATTGTTTGATAGTTTTTGTTCTTCATTGTCACTCGTTTCTTTTTTTATCTGCATTCATCTATATATAGTTTAGCATCCTTATTACTACTACTATTACCACTGGTTAACCTTTTAGTTTGTTGATTTTCTCTCTGGTTAGGCTAATTTATATTGAAGTAACTTAAACTAACCTATTTACAATGGTTATCTATCCTGTTGCCTATGCCTAATTGCACGATACTTCTCATGAGATTGGTGCAACAGACGACCTAAGTTTAAGTCTCTTTGATGGGACTGACACACGTTTAATCTTTTATAAGATATCACTTTAGGGAACATGTAATTCTCAAGATATAACACTAAACATAATGTTAGTAAAGGGAGGTTTGTGGGGCTTGTTGAATTTTATCGATTAACATCATGAACTGACCTTAGACAACCATTGAAGACCAGGGATTGTACATAAGCATCACTGAGAATTTCCATATTAGAATGAATTAGTTGTCCAGTATTTCCTGGATTTTAATGGTCGTCTAATTAAAGTCAGTCTATGATATGGAATTTAAAACTAGGCAAAATGTACTGTTCGAAATTGGTCTGAGTAGTTTATTTTTGTATTTTATAATTTTTTACTCAACGAAGATGTTTTATACACTTAGAACTTAAAGGACATGTCAGCAGTCTATGTAAAGATAATTAAACTTTAATTGGTGCGACTTCACATATAAATTTTACACACCAACTAGAGATCCTTTCTTTTAGATGATAAACTAGAAAAATAAACAGAACTACCTAGCTAATACTCATCTGATGCCCATTGAATTTATCAAATGAAAAAGAGATTTCATGGTTAGTAACTTTAGACCTGATCAATTTCATACATTTTAAAAGTTGTTTATCACATTATTGTTTTATACACAATCCTCTTATACGTTTGCTACATAGTACAGAGTTGGTTTACATTGTTTATTCAGCAGTCTGCTATGTGTGTATTTGTTTTTTTCTAGATTTGAGCGTAAGAAGATAGTCATAAAACTAAATAACTGTCATCACATAGGAGAAAGCATACGTTAAGATTATAGGTATTTGAATGCAATATGGCTTAATGGTTCAAACATGGGAACATCATTCAAGGTACTTCAGTAGTATCTTTAGTCCCCACATGTGAAGTATGGCTGAAATTTGAATAATTAAACCTAGGGTGTGTGCTACTGATGTTGACAGATATAAGTAGTATGTATCACTAGTCGAAAGTGAAATGTCTGGCGGCGGAAGGTTAAGAAGATCAAAGAAAGGAGAATGAGAACAAAGAATGACTTCTGTGGAAACGAAAGAGCAATGAAGTCTGAGACGATTGATTGATATTTGCAAAAGAAGTAGTCATGTTTGAGAAAATTGATTGACATTTTGCAAATTAAGTATTTACTGTATGGTTCTTAGATTTGATTAAGATGTTCTGTAATTTTGTGTTCAAATACATTCGATTGTCCCTACTGTGTTCTCGTTCACTACAAGCCTACACTTGGTAAATATGATGTCACTAAATGAATATCCGAAGACCATATACCTAACTAGTAACTTATCCGATTACATAAATAATAACTTATATACCTGATCATAAGTCAGATAATATAAAAGCGACTGCTATTTAACTTTAATTCCCAACTTTTACCGGGTAGTTCCATCGGTCATGTCAGTTTATCCTTCTACAACAACAACTTATTACCCTCTTAGTTAATAACAGTCGTTCGACTTATGTCAACGACATGTAGTGAATAGCTTTTTAATGAAGTCAAATCTATGAAACTTTGAAATTGAATAATTTCATCTCCCAATACTTACACTGTGGTTCAGGGCAAATGTTTGCAACTGTATCATAACATCATAACTTGTAATGTAAACAGTTACAAATTAGTTCGTGATGTAAGCCATAAAATTCAGCAATCTCCATGATTATTTCGCACTAATGGTAATCATGTGTTCACTAGTGACTAACTTTGGGAGATGATTGCTGGAGTTCCAGTGAGCAACTGTGCCCAGTGGAGTTGGAATATGTCGGATATGAGACAGTTACCTACCTATGAGATTGGAAGACGGTTGCGTAATATGGTTAATTGACAGAGGTTAGAAATCTAAACCTTTGGATGCTGACCTGGTAATCTATATGTTAGGTTATTGCTACAAGACTAGAAGGTTGTAGTTTTCGATCTTCTATGGGGGGGGGGCATGGATACACACTGTTGTGGGTTCTTAAAGTAGGATGAAATCGTTTTCCAGTACTTCATTTTCTAACTAAAGTCAATTCGTCGTGTAAGCTACATAAATGAAAACTTACCAGCGTATAAGTTGTTATAGAAGTATCCACACTAGACTTGGTTTCTGTATATTTGTTTACTTACACCTGTTACCCTCATGGACTAGCATAGGCCGCTCACCAGCATTCTCCATCCAACTCTGTCCTGAGCAATCCTTTCCAGTTGCTATTTGTTATATCTTGTGGCCGAGTGGATGCCCTGTTAATGTATGACGTGGTAAGACGGCCAATCAGAGAGCAGTGTATTATCGATCGGACCAATGACACACAAAACCCGTAAGAGCAGTTTAGAGCACTTGTCCTGCTTTCTGCCTAGCTCAGTCAGTTAAGTTCAGAACAGCCTCTGGGGTATGAATCATTATATTTCAAACATACTGAGTTTATATTACCAAACAGACAGACGGCATCGTACCAATAAAATAGAAATTAACATTTGTACAAGATTCAGCCAAATGTGGCTGTGAATGTGGGAGGCAGTAATTAATAGACTAGGGATAACTCAAGAATGGTTAATCGTATGATAATAGTCTATAGGTCAAAATAAAGCTTATAATAAGAGGGACGCGAATATGAATGGTTTAGTTAGTTAACAATTATACAATAAAAATATAGATATAGTATTGGTCCATAAACGGGTCCCAAAGTCCCCATTCACTATTATTATCGGGACATAACACTATTCATTTGATTTATGTTTATTAGATTATGAAAATGATTTTTATTACAAAATATATTTCGAACTAAGGTGAAACAATTGTTTATTTTTCCAAAAACTTCCCGTAACTGGCGTCAGCTTGTCATGGTAAATTATCTTCAAATCATAATGGTTGCCGTTTCAGTGTGAATCCCGACAATGCTAATAAATATGTGTAATGATTAATTACAAAGAAGTATTTTTGTTAACCTACAAAAAACAACACTTTATGTACATGTTTAAACTCACAATGACATCAAGTGTGTATCTTAGCAACCATTGGAGATTTATTGATATGTATATTGCTTTATTTCCATAATATGTGGTTGATTGAATTACAAAATAAACATGATCTATAGACAGATCTATTTTTTGATGAGCTTTTATATCTGAAAAAAGTTGGTATAATCGAAACTTTTATTAAATACATGATAATGGTCCTTGTTGCATACGTTATGTAGAACGCTATGAATTTACTGTATTTCGTTGTTTTCTCCTCAGTTTAATGGATTTATAATTTCAGTTAATTCAGGTTTGAAATTGATAATACCTATTTTAATCAATATTGATAGATGCAAAATAGTTGGTTATGGTGTCTGCTCGATAGTCATAATCAGTGGTTGTAGATATTGTGTGATACAGCCCAGAATTGGTCACAGTGGCATAGATGCATTCACTTGTTATTTTTCATTGTACTTTAAGTTTCGGTATCCTTTTATAGGTACTTTCTTTTCCATGCGTTTTCCCAATTGTCAGTCTTTTTTTTTCTATAATTGCTACTATTATGATTTCTAATCGTTTGATGTTCATTTTGGTAATTTCATCTGTTTATAGTGTTGTGGTATAATAACGTAGGTCAGATTCTACATTTATCATAACTAATTGATTGTCTGTATATCAAGAAAGAAAGCAACTAAATACAATGGGTTTATTGTATCTAATAAGTATGGTTATTCTTTGAATAAATTTGTCCAAGGGGAACAATATTTTAAATATCTTGTTTTTTTACGAGTATAGTAATCGTCTAGCAAAAGTGACGTTTAGTTGCCACGTAGTTTTCTTACCATTAATTTATGTTAGAGATGTAGCTTCGTGTGATGAAACTGTTCGACTTTCAGCCACTGATTTCCAAGTTTAAATCCTTCTCCACTTCATTTTAAGCAACTAAGTAGTCATCATTAGCCCCATACACTTGAAGTGTGGTTCATATTCAGTTACATAATGAATGGATTAATTTTTGTTTAATGTGTTATTAATTAATATTTGTTTTATTGTAGTCATTTAGAGAATCAAAGGTTGGTAATATATATATATATATATATATATATATATATCCATACTTGTTGACCTTTTGTAAAATTCATTAATTCCCATTTCACTGATCGGTTCATGATCTCAATGTCACACAACTGTGTATGCTAATAATAACCATTTATTGGAAGAACTAATTTGTTGAAATGAAAAGAAAACTGAATTCTTTACAAAATAATGAAGACTGATTTCTTTTTCCTATTCATTTCAATCTTGTTATAAGTTTGTCGAGTTAGTTCAGAGCAGAATTTAAGTGTTCACTTCGTAGTCTACCGTTGACGATTTCATTAAATCCGAACTCTTAAAATGTTTACCTTTAATTTTTTTGTCATTAATGGA